CAGTCAACTTAAATACTTTATATCCTATTACATATTACTGTATTCAGCATAATCCCAACATACCAGACATATGTACAAAATGTTCAGAAGAAAGAGGGGCACCATTTCCTTGCATCTGGGAATGCAGAGAAATTAAAAAGTTTTGGAAAGTGATAAAACAGCATTTTGCCTCAAAGCACATTGTACCACATCTAGGTTTTCTCATACTGTGTCTGCATCCCACTTGGCATCATACTTTGTTTACCAAATATGAACAGTTACTGATTGATATGTACCCACTACAAGTTAAAACACTGATTGCACTTTTCTGGAAGAAAACAGAACCAAGTATCAAGCAATGGATCAGACAAATGCTGATGACTTCACCCCTGAAACACTTTACATATCTCCAAAAAGAGAAAGGCGACTTATTCGAAAACATTTCAGGATGTGTGTGAAAAATGTGGACATGCCTCAAGAGGAAGAATCCAACTAAGGACAAGTTGGAGAGTAGTAGAAGAAGAAAGTGAGGAAAAGTGATAATTTTGTCCTCTAGCAGCCTAAGCCTTTAGCAGCATAACTCCAGAGACCAGCTCAGGATAACCTGAGCCATGAAATGAGGGATGAGAGAGGCAGAGACAGGGGAAGTCGTTTTTCTGGATGTATCATTAGAAATGTCTGTAATTTCAATACACTAAATGGTGCAAAACAAAAGAGCAATTGTTACATCAGTAAAGTAATTTACCAAATTTAACCCTCCTGTTGTCCTCGGGTCAAAATGACCCGAGGACAACAGGAGGGACTACGATTTAAAATTTCCAATAAATTTGCTTGATGAAATAGCTGTGATTAATTATATTGAAAGTGATCTGCTTCTGTGCTTGTCTTTCAGGTCTTATTCGGTTGCAAGAGCTAATAAAGGCACCATCCCGGTACAACATCCGTTTAAAAATCCGCCAGCTGCCTGCAGAGACAAAGGACGCCAAGCCTCTTTTAAAGGAGATGAAAAGGGGAAAGGAATTTCATGTCATATTCGACTGTGGTCATGAGATGGCTGCTGGGATCCTAAAGCAGGTATGGACACATCTATCAGCTTTGCTTTACGCTGTGTGCTGCTACTTCCAGGTAGAAGTGAATCATTTGAGCCCAAGAAAGCAGCAGAAGGTCGTCTGAAGCTGTGGATTGTACTTTCTCTGAGGAGTCAGGTTTTTTGGAACTGGATTGGTCACCTGATATTATCTAATATGCCACCATATTATATGTCAATTTCCGATTGTTACATGTCACACCACCAAATCTGCTCAAAATGTTTTCATCTTTTTGTTTTAAATTCTGCATGCTTGTTAATTATTTTTCATCTCCCATTTTATTATGCAGATTTGAAAGTGTTAATAGTGTGTTTAGAAAAGCACCAATAGTTGTACTTCTGTACATGTAAATGCATCGGGAACACTGCACATTTTATTATAGAACAAACAAAACATCTCACTGTCCAGAAAATGATAAAATAGTACTTGATTGTTTAAGAACAAGAGTAACAATAGCAGTTTAAAAAACACATAAAAAATAAACTCTTAAATGCTTGAAGATGTAGCTTTCTTGTGAATAATCACTGTTTCAGAGAACTGCTGCACCTAAATAAAGAGCAAATGTTTGGGTTTTAAGAAGTCACTTCTTAAATTACATTTGAGTACACTTATTACAGTGTAGTCAATGAGTATTACAGTGTACTCATTTGTTGGGTCTTTTTATGCTTCTATGTCTCTTATACTGTGTTTGCATTTCCCTTTATGTTGGAATTACTGTTGTTTGTTGTTTTTGTGTGCAGCACTTTGGCCAACAGCAGTTGGTCTTAAACATATATATAAATCAATTTGATTTGATTGGGAATTTCATTGGACTTCTGTTTTTCACAGAATGAACTATCTCACAAATTGAATTTCTGTCATGATGTGGTTTGTGGTGGTGAGAATGAACACAGGTGAAGATGGTGATGATGAAGATTTAATTAAGAACAGCTCAGACAGTCCAGTTCAGGCAAGCACGGCAGAAAACTTAGCAGCAGCTAAATACCGGTAGCAACTGAAAACTAAAGACTGAAAAAGAGAGCTAAGTCGACACAAGACTTCTCAGTACAATTGTGTGCAACAACTGACATGCGACAACGACAACTTACAAACAACAAGGATCTGACAAGAGACAGAGACAACAGGTGGACTTAAATACACAGGGAGTAATCAGGGGAACTAGACACACCTGGGAAACAATTAGGGAGCAGAATAAACACAATAAACACAGAAAACTCAAATCCTAACACTTTTACATTATTATTTTGAACTTACTCTTTTCGGAATAAGCTACATGTATAACTACATGTATAACTATTGTTTCTTTCTTACTCTATCACACCTACTAGTGATATTTTTTGTCATCTAGAAATACTTCTCTATCAAAACAATTATCGATCTGGTTAGTGATGTTGGCCTCTTATTTTGAAGAGTGGGGGATTTTGTGATGAAAAAACTTTACACACTTTTTGTTAATTTATATTTAAGACATTTAGCTGCATACAGCTCAGGAATGAGAACACTTTTAAGATTGAAGTTTCTTCCCTAATGAAACAAACAGTTTGAAAATATTAATAATTTAGAAACAAACATGTCTCAGCTTTTAATTTGTAGTCAATATCAATATACTATTTGCCAAGAAACAATTTGCATGTAATAATTTATATCAATTCCAAGTTTTTTTTAACTAAACATTGTATATTGTATAGCAGTTGTCATGTGCCAATACTATTTGGATTTTGTTTTCACTTGTGTTTGTATTTTAATTTGTGTTATTGTTGTTATGATTTCTCTATATTAGTTTATTCCTTTGTTTTCAGTTTCTTTGTTCTAATTTGTGTCTTTTTCTGTTAAATTTGGTTTAATTAGCTAAGGACTATTAGCTTTTGCTCAGTTAGAACATGTGCATATCAGTTTCTCTTGTGCCCATTATTCAGCTTTTCCTTAGTTACCTGGTACTTGTTCAGCATTCTGTTGATTGTATCCACCTGGTATCCATGTCTCTCATCACTCTTTTCTTTCTTGTTTACTGTATATTTTCATAATGTTTTCCACCAATTCATTGCCACCTTGATCCTCCCAAGTTATTGTCTGAATTTTGGTTCTTTGTTAGATTCCTCTTCATGACAGTTATAGCTAGTTGCACTTTGTAATGTTTAAATTCCCAAAGCCATGAGAAATGTACAGGTTGTTCTTAATTTTAGTTTAAAGGTTTAGGTTAGGAATAGAAAAGTCCAGAATGCACAGTTTCTTTGCTTTGGCGTTAAATTAGAACAGAAGTGGAAACGCTACAGCACTATTGCAAACTGCTGCTATCCACTGAGTTCTCTGTGTTTTTTTCTTCATGCTGTAAAACGTGGAGTCAGGCATGTTTTAGTAAAAAACCCAGAACTGTACTGTTTGTTCTTGAAATGCTACATTATTTACTGTTACGGTTTTTTACTAACCTTCATAATAGAAATTAAACAGACACAGAAATTACAGGGTTTTCCCNTGTTTTTCCTTCTTTAGCTGATCAATCACAAACATTGTTGCTCCTGTTTCCACCGTTATGGCTTTCATTTCTTGTTGCACATTTTTTGACATGATAGCACACTTGGTTTACTTGGAGGTCACCCTTAACATTCTTTCAATTTTGTTTGTACTTCTCCAAGTTTTACAACCAGCTAACTAATACCACAAAGAATTTTCCTTTTTGAAAGTAGTTTTACAATTCTGTTATTTCAACAAATAGCTCCCTGCTATGTGCTATTAACATAGCACATAGCCCCCCCCCCCCCCCCCCCAAAATTAGAAAGTTGAGCTTTAAATAACAGTTTATAAGAACAGATTCTATGCAACACTGAACACTGACCAGTAGATTATTAAATCAAGCCCCACCCTTAAATTATCACTGAAAATATTTGGCTAAAATAACTTTAAGACATGGCACAATAGGCTTTCTAACTTTACATAACATCCCAGACGTACAAACCAAAGGCTTTTTTTATGTGATAATGTTGACGAGCAATGGCACAATTTTTCTTAAAACTGATTTTTCCTTTTGTAGCACACCTCCAGCAGGAAGAATCAAAACAAAGCATGTAGAACAGTCCTGACTCAAATCTGTTTTTACCTAAAATGATGTAAGATAGATTTAAGTGAGTGGAGGAACGGGTTAGACTGACTATCACAGAAAGCCTCTCAGCATTAGAAACACCTAAACCTATTACTGCTGACAAATATAGGACAGCAATAATCTTGGACAGACAGACGTTCAACAAGAATAATCACTGTAATCAGAATATGACATCTCTCTGTGTCTTGCTTCTGTGATGGGACCAATTAAATTATCTGTGCTCTAGTAAACCATCATCCAACAGTATCATTGTCACTTCTTTACAACCACAACTTATTTTCTGTAGAAACATTTAACAATTCAGAGTTTGATCTGTTAAACATGACAATTTCCCCCAAATTCACATGAATTACATGATTAACCAGTCCTTTTTTTTTTTTTACATTTTTGTTGTAACAGAAATATATGTATCCGGACATGCAAAGAGAAACTTATGCTTAAACAGTCTGGTGAAAGTTGCTCTTCTCTACTTTTTCACGGAGAAATAATCGAGTAAATAATTTATATCTAATGTAACAAAAAGCGTCTATAAAAACTGACGGACCAGAGAGTAGATTTCTCTTACATCTCTCCATACATTACAGTTGACTGCATGTTGCTTTGACCCATCCATATCTAATTTATTAACACAAATTGCCAAATTGAATCGTTGGGTGAAAATCAGTCTAAAACCACATGTAGCAAAGAACAACTTTGTTTAGCAACGAGCATCTGAGCAATTTGAAGGCAAAACCACGTCAAAGCCTCTTAAGGTGAGCAGGAACTAATGCGTCTAATAAAAGCGCTAAGCGAACGAAGACGTCAAGTTTACGGCTACGAAATAATAGCTAGCATACCTGAAGTCTGTAGGACAGCTCTCTTCTGATGCTAATAAAGCTCCGCACAAAACAGAAGACAACCGTGAACGGGGTAGGATCATTACTCCTCACTCAAACTGTACCAGCTGACACTGTTGTTCTCCAGTCCGCTCCTCCCTCCAGACAACAACGTGGATCTGACCCGTTGGATCTCACAGCTGAGTTCCAGCTAGTCGCTAACAGTCCTGGGTGATTAGTACTGACGGCCGACGTTGCTCATTTTCCCTGCTCCATTTATGTACCTTTACTCTGAGCAGCGCATCCGTTTGCTATGTTAGCCTCAAATATAGCTCCTCTGAGGCACTAATTTGAAAGAGAACTAGGATTATCACATGGTTCAGTCAAACACACATTGACTGCAGCACTCTTTTCAGGAGGTATGTCAGGATCGTCAAACCTCATCTGCTGTGAGCTTGATAAGTAGCACTGAACAGAGAAGCAGAATTTTCTTCCATTCCAAACCTGTTCAAGCTGAAGACATGAATGCAGCAAACTAATCCCACTTACATCTGGCTTGTTAGAGGGGATTCTGGAGCTCGACCTAAGGCTCATCCAGCTGAAGCACCAAGAAGCTAGCTGTTTAGCGAGCTAACAATGAGTCGAGCCGCCCCTTCCCAACGTCTGCCTTCCAATCACACCATATATCTGTACGTTGTCACGGAAGCTTTCAGGTCACTCGCACCTTCACAGCCCAACACCATTATTGCTCAGGGTTCCTGGTTCCTCTTCCCAGAACTGTTGCTGCTAAAGTGTCTGCTCAGGGACTGACGATCCACTGATACTGTTTTAAATCCAAAAAGAACGCAATGCAACAATTTAGATATATTAAAGAAAATGTTTCCCGTTGCCTTTTGCACCGGTTCCTTTGCTTTTCTATCCTAATGCTCTTTCACAGGCGCCTGTCGCTGATGTATGGTGACAGCATCTTCCAGTTCTTACTAGCCGAAACTACACTTCCGGATTGATGACCGGTTAATACCGAATTCAACCGAGTAGTTCCGAATGGATGAATCCTGTAAAAAAAGAAAAAAAAAAATCCTCACAAAGTTAAACAGTGACATAACACATCCTAGAACTCGGAACATTCTCAATGGAAAAACTTTATCAACAGTGGAATTGATTGTGAACATAAAATATCAATGTAAATCATAAATTATTACACCAGGGAGATCTGGATTCATACTCTATATAAAAGTGGAAAATAACATGATTCACCATTACTGAATAGTCCTCGAGACAAGTCTAAATGAGGCTCAGTAGTGTATGTGGCCTCCATGTGTCTCTATAACCTCCCGACAATGCCTGGGCACGCTCCTGATAAGACGGCAGATGTTCTGGCGGATCTCTTCCCAGATCTGGATTAGAGCATCAGTTAGGTCCTGGACAGTCTGTGGTGTAAGGTGGCGTTGGTGGATGGACCGAAACATGATGTCCCAGATGTGCTCAATTGGATTCAGGTCTGGGGAACAGGAAGACCAGTTCATAACATCAATGCCCTCATCTTACAGGAATTGCTGACACACTTCAGCTACATGAGGCCTAGCACTGTCATGCATAAGAACAAATCCAGGGCCCATTGCATCAGCATATGGTCTCACAATGGGTCTGAGGATGTCACCTGGTACCTTATGGCAGTCATGGCACCTCTGACCAACACACAGAGAGCTGTGCAACCATCCAAAGAAATGCCTCCCCACACCATGACTGACCCACCACCAAACCGGTCATGCTGGAGGATGTCGCAGGCAGCATAATGTTCTCCATGGTGACTGCAGACTGTCACATGTGCGCAGTGTGAACCTGCTTTCATCTGTGAAGAGCAGGGTGCCAATGGCGAATCTGCCAATTTTGTTGCTCACTAGTATTGGAAAATAAATTTAAAATATGCTAGTTTTTAAACTTGATCATATGTTCAAAATATTAAATAAAATTAAAAGCGTTTTAAAATAAGAAAATTTGGTTCCAAATTGCCTCCATGGTCTAATCGGCATAATCTCATTTGTAGGATAGTTCTATTAAAACATAATGCAATAAGTTTAATTAAAATAATTTAGTTGGTAGTTCTCGATAATTTAAAACACAACTAGTCTCTCTGTGATCTGATCAAGCATCTGAAGGGGGTTGAAACTCTTTGTGTGTTTAACCTTTGGCTGATCTGGATAAGTTTTAACAGCTGGTGTTGTAAAAACAATCTGGTCCTGTCGCCAGAGTAGAGCTTCCTCTCAGGACAGGGTCATAAAAAAAACATCACAAAAGAAAATAACGCTTCTTTGATCTTAAAAAAACAGGCTTTTACTGGAACATGGTCAACTAGATTTAAATGAACTTAGCCAAGGACAGACCCCTAATTTGAATACAGCAGAGAAGGAAAACACGCCCTTCCTTTAAAAGTTTAGGAACCAAACCTTTAGTTCAGATCGCTCCAGGATTATCAGAGATGAGGTCTCTGGGGAATGGTGCATCTGTGAGATCCTTCCCTGTATTTTGTAATGGTCTAATTATCAGTGTGTAAGGTAAATATGTTCTTGTTTCTGGTTTGTGGCTTTTATGATGAATTGTGTGAACTGTAGGAATTTGATTGTTAAATAAACTATAATTGTACGTTGAATAGAAATCATTGTCTATGGTACTGTTGATACAAGCGACAACTTCATGAACTTGGGCTGATTCAGAGGAAAACCAAATGAGCAGACATTTTTTTAAGTATAAATCCTCTGAATTTAACACTAGCAAACACCATTCGTCTTGCACGGTGTTGGACTGTAAGCACAGGCCCTATATACCACCATCACAGAGTCTGTTTCTGACAGTTTGAGTAAAAACATGCACATCATTTTGTAGGGCCCTGGCAGTGGACCTCCTGTTCCTCGTTGCACAAAGGACAAGGTAGCGGTCCGCAGCTGGAAGCCCTCCAATGGAATCTCTCCACCTCTCTTGGTGTATTGGCCTGTCTCCTGGCATCTAATCCATGCTCTGGACACTGTGTTGAGAGACGCAGCAAATCTTCTCACCACCGCTTGCATTGATGTTCCGTCTTGGATTAGTTGTACTACTTGAGCAACTTCAGTGGGCTGTAAAAAAAAAGCCTCATGATGCCTGAGAGAGCACTGACAAAATGAAAATGAGACTAAAAGTTCAACCAGAAAGGATGAGAACAGAGAAATGGTCTTTGGTCACTCGCAGAATCACTCTTGAAACCTGAAAGAAATAATAATGTTCCTTTTCATGGTCTTAGTCAATGACAAATGAGCTGCATGTCAAAAATCTTTTAAATTTGGAAAATTGGGTTTGAAGTTATTATGAAACATCCAGTTGAAATCATAAAACTGAGGCAAAATAAAGACAGAGAAAAACGTCTGATGTAAAGAGTTTCTTACCTCTTTGTCAGAGATTGCAGACTGAAGAGCACAGCTCCAGTTGACCAAACCCTCTGAGCAGTGTCTGACAAAAGCCTCAGTTACAGCTCTGCTAAAACCCTGAAATCATACAAAAATAAGACAGTGAAATATGTTGTATTCGGTAGATACTGAAACCATATACAAATACAAATTTATGTAGTAAATGGGCTTGCTGCTTCCCACACAAGGAAGAACAAATACCTCTTAGTAAGTTGACTGAAAAAAATCCCAGAGATCTGATCAACCCTGTCCACGACGCAGCAACTGAATCAATTGAATTGAAGTCAGCAGAGCTTCAGAAAATATTTGCATTTACAGTAAAAATCAGTATTTGCTGTTAGTAGGAAGAAAAAAACTGTTGATGAAAATAGTCTGTCAACAATGATAGAGACTGGGTTCCCTCATTAAATCCAGCCATCATCTTCCACTTATCCGGGATCTAGTCTCAGGCAGCAGTCTAAGCAGAAGCCCAGACTTCCCTCTTCCCAGCTCCTCCAGGGGAACCGCAAGGCGTTCCCCAGTCCAGCAGAAAAACATAGTCCCTCCAGTGTGTCCTGGTCTTC